CCCCTAAGTTTGAGTTTGTCGAAATTTGCATGCGCGAGCCAGTATGCGCAGTGCAAATTTTTGTGTCGATTTATGGCAGGCATCTCACCAAACTTTTTCCCACCACCCGATTCGTCGGGTGAGATGCCTGCGGAGGAGGCTAAAACGCACGTAACAAATTCCATTATCGATTTCTTCGAATTTCTTTTCTTTTATGCTTTATGGCAGAAAATAAATCAAACAAACGGTATTTTGAAAGGGCTTTATCAAAATCTTGGACGAATTGAATTTTGGGCACACGACGCTGAAAGAACAGCCAAACTAGTCATGTATTCGAAAGCTTGTTGTTGACAGCCGGCTAGCCGTTCTGCCAAATGGCTTCGCCGGCAAAAGTCTTATTTTTAATATCAGGTCCTACAGGCGTTGTTTTCTGAGCTACATCGCCTTCTTCGTGGTACGATTGAGAATTTCATTGTTGCTGTTGTTTAATCGGCCCGTTAGAGTATATCCGCGTACAGCAAGTTGAGACCTTGAGAAAGCTTGGCAGTGAAGCCGTGCACAGAACTGACTGATTAAATCTTTGTTTGCTGTTCGGTTAAATACAGAAATTGACTCTTAATTATATAAAAGTACCTTGAATTTTTAAGTTTAATTATAAAGCAAAATGCAAACTCTGCGGACATGTTCATGAGAATATAAATTTTTTGTGTAACGAAATCTACAATACTTGTCAATCATATTGCATGTTGTGTCTAAAAATAACATTTGGGCGTCCCACAGTCTAGACAGGTTTTGTGTCAGGCCCTATTTCAAATTAGGGCCTGAACTTCAGGTTAGACGCGGATATACTCTAACGACTAACGGGCTAATAACAGCAACAATTAAATTCTCAATCATACCACGAAGAAGGCGATGTAGCTCAGACAACAATTACGCCGGTAGGACCTGATATTAGACTTTTGCCGGCGAAGCAAGTTGGGAGAACATCTTGGCTGTCAACAACAAGCATTCGAATACATGACTAGTTTGGCTGTTCTTTCAGCGTCGTGTGTGTCCAAATTCGTCAAAGATTTTGATGAAGCTCTTTCAAAATACTGTTTGTTTGATTTATTTTCTGCCATAAAGCATAAAAGAAAAGAAATTCGAAGAAATCGATAATGGAATTTGTTACGTGCGTTTGACCTCTATATTAATTCTCGCCTTGAACGAGCTATTTTTAAAACTGTTGTTTATGTGAACTTGCAACCAATCAAAATCCTTCATGATGCTGATCAACCAATCAGATTTCCCGTCCACCAGGTGGACGGGAATCCCACACTTTAGATAGGTTTTGTGTCAGGCCCTATTCTGTGATAGGGCCTGAACTTCAGGTTAAGTTAAACACGAGAGTCGTTCTGATTAACATCGTGTAGAATTGGTCCTAATAATAGTCGTGAGCATGTTTTAGTTAAATTGCGCAATCCTGAGCCCACGATGCCGCAATGGAAAGTCACACTTGCGACAACCAAAAAAACCCCAAAAAATTCCTTGCATTTTCAGCAAGAGCAAATTATGACACTGGCTGCGGCCGGTGTAATAAGTGTCTATTCTATGAGGTGTCATGTGCTGACTCATGCAAGTCGACGGATCAAGGAAGCTGTATTAAGTCGAGATCCAACTTTGAATGCACCAATACATTGATACAGTAGCTTCAATTAGTTGACCTGCATCTAAGGACGTAAAGCATCGATATCATTAACGGGACAAAAGACACGCAAAATCACTGTTTCCTATTGGCTCTCACTATATGATCTACAGTATGTTCAAAACTTGGCTAAACGCAAAATAGTAAGATTCTGTTGGCTATCGCATTGGGTCGGCACGAAGCTGTAGGAAGATGTTCTGTGACTGGTTGATTATGACAATGACAAAATAATAAGCTATAGAATGGATTTTCTAAAGAACGAAGCAAGAACAATATTCCTGTTGTTTATGTAAGCCAATTACGTCTTTTGTCATTGTCATAATCAACCAGTCACAGAACATCTTCGTAGAGCTTCGTGTTTACTGCGTACTAACCATGTCTACTAAAATTCGATGTTTCTTTTACAGACGTAGTTGCGTACACCCCGAAATCGATATGATTTACGTGATGGATGGTTCTGGTAGTGTCGGAAAGAAAAATTTCGAAAAGATGAAAGATTTTATTCAAGAATTAAATGAAAGGTTTACCATTGGAACTAACGACGTTCGTGTTGCTATTCAAGAATATTCGTCCCCCGACCATTATGTGTACACCGTTCAGCTCGGCGAAGGAAATATAAATGGCAATATTGATGACTTGAATGGTGCTGTGTCAAATATGCCATATCTTACCGGCGGTACGTACACCGGTGAGGCACTAAGAAGAGCAAGAACTGTGGTAAGAAATATACTTTTCTATATATAGTTTTTTAATTTCTGTTTATTTTACCAAACTTCAGGCGCCCGTATGGCAATTTAATTTTTTTTTATAAATAC